AACAAGCCAAAAATTCGGCGCCTGCGGCGGGTTTCTTTTGCATCCGTTCCAGGTGGAGAACCTGCGACCCACCCGCGACCCAAACCGCGTTCAGTGTACAAATCAAAACCTTCGGCGCCTGCGGCGGGCTATTCTTGAATTCCTACCAGGTGGAAGTGGAGAGTTCGCGACCCACCCGCGACCCAAACTACGTTCACTGAACAAGCCAACAATTCGGCGCCTGCAGCGGGCTGTTTTTGCATTCGTTCCGGATGGCCCACCAGCGATCCCCCCCCGCGCTGAACTTGTCAGAGCACGCAAATCGGCGCCTGCGGCGGGCTTGCTCGCATTGGTTTGGGAAAGCGCCCTCATGCCATTTCCCCGATCCGGCCCACCTTGACTCTACAACAGCACATCGGCGCCTGCGGCGGGGCTGTGTCTGAACACGTTCATTGATAATCCAGCTACCTGCTGCAATTCGGCATCCGTGCCCAAAGCCTGGGTTCAAGGGAAGCTGCCTCAAGGCGCCCACAATTAAGGGGCCTCGGGGCGCTCAAGGACCCTCCTGAGGGGGGCGTCCATGAACCCTACCTACCACACAGCACGCCAGTGCCGCACAAACGCGGCGGTTTTTGCATGCCGTCTGAGCCCCCCAAGACCTCTTCAAGCTCCGTTCATCCACACCAACCCATCCAGCAACTTTGCCGTGGCGAGTTGCCTGGATCAGAGAAGTCGGGGGGCATTCAGTGGAACAACGGATTGGTTTGCCGTTATCTTGAGAAAGAAGGGCGAGGCAGCGGAGTAAACAGGGGACGAGGAGGACGCGGAAGAAGAGAGGATGTAAGGATAATGTGGAGAAAGAGGAGGAGGAGGAAGAGGAGGAGGAGGAAGAGGAGGAGGAGGAGGAGGAGGAGGAGGAAGGCGCCATCGACAGGGAAGGTGAGGGCCACGAGGTCCGCCGGCTCGACGCCCGCGTCGCCCGCGCCCGCCCCCTCACTCTTATCCGCAATTGCGGGGTGCTACGTATTCGATTTTCTTCTCGAACAAGGGGTCTGGTTACGCTCAGGTGTGGTTTGCGATCGGCGCCGTTGGGGCTTATAGGGGCCACCACGTTGCGCCAAGCGTTTGGTGAGCCCTTGTCAGGGCGCGGCAGAGATCTCTGTCAAGGTTCTCGCCCGCCCCCCAGGCGCGGGTCGCAAACCACACCCTTCGGAGTCGCAGACTTTCGCCAGCGCGGCCCACACCCGGACCCCCTCGCGTCGTGACAAAGAATGCACGACGGGAAGTTGTTGCAGGTGTTCAACCTCTGAGGGCCCTCGCCGGGCCCTGGGAGGGACCGTCAAGATGCGACCTGGGATGAAAAACTGGCAAAGTTGTGAAAAATCACGACGTCAGGGGCCCAGAGACATGAATCATGAGACGCGAGGATTAGCGACGGGCCCCGCTTCCATAATTACAGACTCGGCGCGGTCCGTTGCCAAATGAGGCGGCACCGCGCCATGCTTCGGCGGGAGCTTTCCCCGATCTGTGGGTCTGGAGCCCACGCGCCAGATCAACCCAGCCGTAACCCATGCGTGTGCCAGTGACATCGGCGTGCGCCCTCGAAAGTTCCTGGGTATACCTTTGATCCGATTGAGGCGGGAGGTCTTAGGCATCCGGGGGCCCTCGCCAGGCCCTGGGCTCGTGCAAAAACGACTCAGGATCAAAGGCCAGCCCTGTTGAGAAGAGGTCGGGGATTCCAGGGACTCCGCACTGAAAACAATCATGACCTCGGATGTCTGGTGGGAGGCTCCCCTCGTCGCCACGGCCAGGTCCGCCGCAGGCTTGGCGGGGACTGCTAGGAGTCGCCTAGCATAGGCAGAGACCGAAGACCGCCACGAAACTTCCATTGACCGATCAGGGGGCAGTGATGGGAAAAGGCTGGCGGCGGCCGGCGGAAGTACAACATGCGCCCAAAAGAGATGGCAGCCCTTTTTGGGTTCAGGGGTTCGAAAACCGCATATTTGCACACACACATTCGATGGCGTACCGATGGCGGCTGAAAGCCGTTAGCAAGGACCGTCGTGGTGTTCTCAGGACGTCGGAGGTTTGGGGAGGTGCGTGGCGGCCGGGGAGGCCGCCTGGCGCCTTGTGAGCATCTACCGTCTGCCGACGTCCAAGCTTTGTGTTGCCCCTCTCCCTCCCTCCCCAGGCGGGCATTCCGAGGATCCTGGCGACGAGAAGTGGAAGGTGGCGGGCATCCTCAGATCTTTCCTCTCTCCTCTTCTCTTCCCCTTTCCTCGCCGTTCTCTCTCATCCTCTCTCGTCTCCCTGCTTCTGCTCGCTACTGCTCCTGCTAATCCTCCTCTCCTCCTCTCTCCTGCTCCTGCCTCCTGCTCCTCCCCGTCTTGCTCCTCCCTCCTCCCTCCTTCTCATCCCGCTCCTCCCGCTCCTCTCTCCTCATCATCCCCTCTCTTTCTCTCTCTTTCTCGCTCTCTCGCTCCCTCTCCCTCTCCCTCTCTCTCTCTCCAGCCTCCCTTCGCCGCTGTTGCCTCAACGGATGCAATCTTCACCTTACGCTAACGCGCGCCGCATGGCGCTCGGCGCCGTGGCCGTGGCCGCCTGCCGCGTCCACCAGGTCAGTCGTGAGTCCCTTGCTGGCCACGCGCCAGGAGCGCCTCGGGCTCCTGCTTTTCAAGTGCGTGGCTCACGACCCGTGGAGCAGCAGGGCGCGCGCGACGCTAGTAGACCAGAACCTGGACGTGCTGTCCGCATCGGTGTGTCTCTGTCTCTCTCTCTCTCTCTCTGTCGGTGTGTCTTTTTCTCTCTCTCTCTCTCTCTCTCTTTTTTTTTTCTCTCTCTCTCTCTCTCTTTGTCGCGGTCTCCCTTCTCCAGCTCCCCCCACATGCTCTTGGTACCCCTCCGGTTTCCTCTCTCCTCGTCTCCTCGTCGTCTCCCCCCTTCGTCCTCTCGCTCATCCTCTCGCCTCTCTCCTCCCTCCCTCCCTCCCTCCCTCCCTCCCTCCCTCCCTCCCTCCTCCCCTCCTTCTCCTCCTCCTCCTCCTCCTCCTCCTCCCTCCTCCTCCTCCTCCTCTTCGTCTTCCTCCTCCTCCTCCTCCTGCTTCTCCCTCCTTCTCTTCCCGGAGCCCCCGCTCTGCCATATGTCTGTCTGCCTCTGTGCTGGTCCTGCAACAGAGTTCCGCCGCCTGCTGGCCCCACGTGTATGCCAGATTCGGCCTCATCTGGCCGCAGGGATGTGCCCGCGCTGCACGCCGTGGAGTGCGGGAGCCCCCCCCCATTGGCAGAGACCCCGCTTGTAGTGCGCGTGCTCGAAGAACCTGTGTGCATCGTTTCGATGTTGTCATCCGGCACGTTTTGATACTGTGCTTGTTGACGCGCGTAGCTGATGACTCCGCCGCTTCCTTCTCCTTCTCCCTCCTCCTGCCCCTCCCTTCTTCTCCTCCCTCATCCTCCCTCATCCTCCTCCTCGTCGTCCTCTTCCTCCCTCCTCTCCTCCTCCTCCTCCTCCCTCCTCCTCCTCCTCCTCCTCCTCCTCCTCCTCCTCTCCTCCTCTCCTCCTTCTCCTCCCCCTCTCACTCCTCACGCATCCTCCTCCTCCTCCTCCTCCTCCTCCTCCTCCTCCCTCCTCCTCCTCCTCGTCCTCCTCCTCCTCCTCGTTTCCCTCCTCCTCCTCCTTCTCCTCCTCCCTCTCACTCGTCACGCCTCCTCCTCCTCCTCATTCTCCTCCCCCTCCTCCTCCTCCTCCTGCTCCTCCTCCTCCTCCTCTCCTCTCCTCCTCACCCCTCACGCATCCTCCTCCTCCTCCTCCTCCTCCTCCTCCCTCCTCCTCCTCCTCCTCCTCCTCATCATCCTCCTCCTCCTCCTCCTCCTCCTCCTCCTCCTCCTCCTCCTCCTCCTCCTCCCCAAAGCAAGAAGGCCGCCCGGAACGCAGCCGCCGTGCTCGGGGCGATGTACGCCGTGGAGACCAGCGGGGGCAAAGGGTGGGGGAGCCTTCTTGCCTCGAGGTTCGAGGAAGCGCAAGCATGAGCGAGGCGCGTGAAAGAGCGACGGGAACCGGTTCCATGCGAGATCAGCGCGCTCCGTCGCCAGATGAGGTGGCACGGGCACTTGTCCCCGATCCGCGGACCTGGCGCTGGCGCCCACGCGCCAGATCCACGGTTCCGTGAGGTTTCAAAACCCAGGTGTGCACAGGTCTTCTGTAGCTTCCTGTGGGCGGTCCAGCCTCAGGGTGCTTTCTGCCAGTTTCGCTTCGCCGAGAGCGTCCTCGGGTGCCCAGATCGCTCCGAACGGCCACAGAAGATTTGTTTTTTGACCGGGGAATCCCCCAGAAGCGAAAGAAGATGCTTGCAGTTTCGGTCTCAAGGGCTTTCGTTGGGCCCCGGGCCCGTCAACAAGGGACTCGGGCTGAAAACCCGGTCTTGGGAAAGAGTCGGGACTTCTGGGGACCCATGGAGTGACAAAAACAAGACGTCCGTTCTCGTGGGAGGGGGGAAAAAAAAGAGGGAAAAGGATGGGAAGGAGGATTGGGGTGAGAGGGGATCGAAGATCCAGGATCCAGGTTCCGCGGGACGTGATTTCTCAGTCGAATTAATCGCCCCTCGATTAGTAGTTGGATATGTCTACCTCTCTATATGTATACGTATATCTATATATATATAGAGAGAGAGAGAATTACACATGAATGTCTTGGAGATCTTGGCCATGGGGACCCAGGGCCAGGGCCTCCCTTGTATATTCTGCCCTCCCCCCCCCCCGGGCAGGTCTCTTCAAAGCCCCCGAGGCTCCAGGACTGCCCGAAGAGCGCTCCAGGGGCGCCCAGGATAGCCTCCAGACCGCCCAAGAAGCCTCCCCAGGACGCCCCAAGACAGCCCCAAGATCGCTCTGAGACGCCCCCAAGAGGCATCGAAAAACACCAAGAGACTCCCAAGAGGGCCCCGGGAGGCCCTCATCGCCCCATTGCCCGCGGGAAGTGTTTTTGTTTCTCAGATTCGCCTTTTCGGCTTCGACAGAGCCCAAGACTGCCCAGAAGGCGCCCGAGGGAGTCCCGAAACGGTCGCAGCAGATCCCAAAGCCCAGCGGTCTGCAAGAGTTCCGTCAGGCTGGCCCGCGCCGTCCGGTGTCCTTGGAGCCGCGATAACCTCGCGAGCATCGGGCGGGCGAAGCCGTTGTCCACGCCGCGGCGCGCCAGGTATTGCAGCCGCCGGGCGCTCGTGGTGCCCTCGCGCCAGGCCAGCCGGCGACTGCCGAACAGTCGGGAGATGGTCGGTGGCGGGGCAGGCAGCCGCCGCCGCGGCGTCGAGCTCCTCCGTGGCCATCCGCTGCCACGAGCCATTGCGGCGGCGCGGCGGAGGCGGCGCCTCGGGCGCCCACAGGAGCTCCAGCGCGGCTGACGTCTGAGCCCAACGTTGGGGTCTGAGCCCAAGCGGTTGTACGCATGGTGGCTGCGATGGCGATGGTGACGAGGTTATGAGGCAGGGGAGCGATGATGATGGCACAAGGAAAATATTCTCAAACCAAACGAAGTAGAGAGAGGGAGGACCGCCAGTGATCTTTGCAACAGAAGCGTGAGAGGAAGAGGGAGGAGGAGGGGTGGGGGACATGATCAGGGGGAGAAGGATGAGGAGAGGGAGGGACAGGGGGAGGTGGAGGGGGGAGGAACAGCGAAGGATAAGGACATGCGCACACGGAAACACCAAACGACATAACACACACATCGTAGTGATGCATAGGTAGGCATGGCTATCATTAATTGGCATGATCAAATTGAAGCAGCATGTTTCAATTTAGCGACCTCACATAATTGAACAACCATGGCAACATAGAAGCAGCAACCTAAGTACATCTAAGCAACGTGTTGACATCTATTCAGCATGCCGATTCGCGTTAATTCTATGTTGGTCAGCGCTCGCTAGCGCCAGCCGGAGCATGCCTCAAGTCAACCAACAAATATTTCATTGAATCAACATATCTGTGATGGACCAGTAAACTGCCTTTATTCTGCTATTGTGAAGACGCTTCGAGAGGCCTCCGCGACGCTCCCAACGGCCCACCTGACCTCCCGACAAACCTCCAAGACGGGCCCAGAGGCCGGAAGAACCCGCGGGGAGGCCCCCAACATACGCCCAAGAGGCCTCCAGACACAGTCCACGCAGCTCTGGCGTGGCATGGGGGCTCCAGGGGCCCCTCGAGCACCCTCGTGACCTCCGCCGTGGCCCAACGCAGATAATCCCAAATTGATACGATAGTTTACCGGTCCATTCCACCACGCCACGAGAGCGCCGAAGATGTTTTGTGAACGGCCTCCGAAGGCTTCCAAGCTGCGCCAGGACGGCCTCGGGCAGGCTTCAGTGGGCGCCCGAGGCCCTCGACGAGTGCCCAGGGAGGCAACTTGTTGTGATGTCCGTAGGGTCTTTCAATGTTTGTGCCCCCCCCCACACTTTTCCAGTTTCAGATAATCGCAGATGGCCCTAAAGATCCACAAAACCGCCCCGAAACGGGCCGAGAGGCCCCGAGGAGGGCCCACGGACGGCCTGACAGGGCTCCATGATGGCCCCTGGGGCAACCAGGACGGCCCCAGAGGGTTTTAATTGACTCCAAGATGGGCTCAAGAAGGGGAACATGAACCCAAGTTTCGAGTCCTACGCCCCAAGAGGATCCCAGGAGGCTTCAAGAAGGCGCCAGGACGGCCTCGGGCAGGCTTCCGTGTATGCCCGAGGCCCCAGACGAGCGCCCCGAGAGGCGAAATTGTATGATTTCTTTTGGGATGTTCAATGCTTTTGGGGTCCTCCACTTATCAAGTTCCCGACGCTCCAAAACGGCCCACGAGGCTTCCAACACCGCCTCAGGACGGGCCCAAAGGCCTCCAGGAGTGTTCCGGAACGGCAGAACAGGGTAGCATGACGGCCCCAGGGGCGCCGCAGACAGCCCAAGCAGCCCTTAAGACGGCGTCTCCAAGATGGACTCAAGATGGGGAGCATGAACCGAAATTTAGAGTTTTTCGCCCCAAGAGGCTCCCAGGAGGCCCCACGAAGGAAACGGGCGGCCTCGGGCAAGCATCAGTGGACGCCCGAAGGCGAGAATATTATATTCCCGTCTTCTTTTGATGGGAGGTTTCGGGACAGCCTGACAAGGCCCCATGATGGCCCCAGGGGCGCTCAAGACGGCCCACGAGGCCCGAAAGAGTGCGGCCCCAAAGAGGGGAACACGAACCGAAACTTCGAGCCCTTCGCCCCAAGAGGCTCCCAGGTGGCCACAAGCAGGCCTCCAGAGGTGGCCACGAGGCTCCCAGAGGACCCCAAGAGGCCCCCACGACGCCAGAAGGCTCCCAGACGGCCTCCGACCGGCCCCAAGGAGACCAAACGACTGCCATCAAGAGACCGCCATGCGAGGCCCCTTTTCGACATCTCTCATAATTCTCTGATGGCTCCCATGGCTTTTGCCACACTGCCCGGGCACGGTTGCGAGATGGGTCGAAGGCCATCCCGATCTTTTTTGCACACCGCCTACACTCTTTCTCACATTCCTTGCCGTGGCCGTCCCAGCTCCGACAATTTCATGTTCTGTTACCTTGCACCTCCCCTTTCTCATTTCCAAGCGCCACCATCATCTTAAGATTTTCGAGCGGTTCCATCTGGTAGTCCCTTGGGCTTTGCAGCCTCATGTGGGGCACCCTGGACACCCTCTCGAGGACTCCAACACGGCCCACACCATCATGTTCCCTGAGAGCCTTCCGGGAACATGATTGTCGGCGCCAGTCCGACGAGGGTGCTGCTTGCATTTGACGCTCTCCTTTGCGACGCCTCCAAAAGGCCCCCAGAGGTCCCCGCGTGTCGCATGCAGAAAGAAGGAAGAGGAGGAGGAGGAGGAGGAAGAGGAGGAGGCGGAGGACGAGGACGAGGAGGAGGAGGAGGAGGAGGAGGAGGAGGAGGAGGAGGGACGACGACGACCATCACGAGGAGGAGGAGGAGGAGAAGGAGGAGGAGGAGGAGGAGGAGAAAAATCACCAAAACAGGGCCCGGACACCCTCTCGGATTTCGCCCCTTCTTTGGCCCACGACATGATTTACCTCTCCTGGGGCCTGCCTTACACTAGTTGAGCGGCGGGGCCCGCTCAAAACGCTCCGGAGGCTGCAAAAAACAACGACCAAGCCGGCCTGACACGGCCGAAGACGCCAGAAAAGAACTGTCCAAGAGGCCACGAGGACGTCCTAAAAAGGCCCCAAGATGCGTCCTCAGAGGGCCCGACGAGGCCCAGATCGCTTCGCCCCTTAAGCAAGGACTTTCTGTGGCGACGGACCCATCCTTCCGCAGCCATGTGTAGCGCAGGGCGCAGGTCTCTCTTCATACCCTGCGCGCCCCAGAGCAATGCAGAAAAATGTACGCTGCACAGCACGCGTGCGCGGGTGCGCTCGACCCTTTGTGGGGCACGACCCGCGTGAAAGGTGTGCCGGATAATTCGGATGCCCCCGCGCGAACGCCCACTGAGACCGCAGGTGGACCTCCTTTGGGCACGACCCGTGCGAGGCATGTTCCGAAATGGCCAAGTAGACGCCATGCGAACCTGGCAATTCGTTGTGGAGCTCTTCCTGGGGAGTGATTCGCGTGACGGATGTGCTGGTATGGAGGGGGGGGGGGCACTGTACGAACCTTGTCTCTGGGCTTTTAGATGGTGCTCCTGGTTTGCACGATCCGCGTGATCGGGTGTGCCGCAAGGGCAGAGTGGGGAAGGGGGGGTGTCAAATGCGCACCATGCCTCTGGGGCCGTAGGTTTAGATCCCTGTGTGCCGAAGTAAGCGAGGGGGCGGGATGCAAACCTTGTTTTTGGGGCCGTCTGGGGAGCTTTTTGCGGGCCGCGATCTGGGTGAGATGCGTGCTGGAACGAGCTGGGCGACGTTATGAAGTTTCCATCTGGTGCCAGACATGCAGTTTCTTGCGGGGCACGATCCGTTCGAGGGGCGTGCCCTCATGCGACCCCTGTCCCTGGGGACGTATGTGGGGCTCCCACTTAGGCGCGACCCTGTGAGGAGGGTGCCGACATGGGCGGGGAGACGCTACACCAAGCCTGTCGTTGGGTCCGCAGGTGAAGTCCCTTGAGGGACACGACCCGTGCGACAGTACATGTTTTCTTGTGCCGATCGCTCTTTCCTGCAACTAAAGCGTGGCAGACGCGAAGTGCGGGTGGAATCGCGCGCGTGGTTCGAATTTATGTAAGTATGTATGTGTGTAAGTATCCATGTGTTGATGTAGATGTACGTATGTTTCTGTGTATATTCGATACATACATATATATATATATGTATGTATGTATGTATATCTATATGTATGTATCTATAAATGTGTGTGAATATATCTATAGATATACATGTATATATATATACAATTACAAATGCATGCATACATACATACATATATATAGATGTGTATATATATATATATATGTGTATGTGAATGTATATCTATATATATGTGTGTGGTCGCCCCCTCCAAACACCTCCAAACCACCAACACCACAAGGCGTTTATTGATCGTTTGCTCATCCTCTTCCTCCTCTTCCTCCTCCTCGTCTCTTTCCTCCTCCACAAAGCTCGGTGAGGAGGGTCGCCGTAGGAGCATGGACCACGAAACTATAATATGCACATGTTTTGATGTTTTTGTTGGTCAGGGGTACCACGAAACCATACGATGCACAAGTGGTTTTGTTTTTTTTGGTTTTCGGGAGGTCTGCAAAATTGCCCAGGACGGCTTGCGGGAGGAGCGTGGTCACGAAACCATGTGATGCACAGATTTGTGGGCCTTTGTCATAGGTTCAACGAAACCATGCTATTCACAGTTTTTTCAGGAGGTCCCAGAGATTTCCGTTGCCAAGGTCTCCGGACCTTTTGTAAACCAGAAAAAACAAGACAACCTGTGCAAAATATGGTTGCGTGGTATTTCTGACTAAAAAACCATACAAACAAGAGCATATGTGCATAGTACGGTTTCGTGGTCACGCTCCTCCCGCAAGCTGTCCTGGGCAAGTTTGCGGACCTCCCGAAAACCAACAGCAACGAAGACACACTGTGCACAGTATGGTTCCATGGTATCCCTGACAAGCCAAAACCATGTGCATAGTATGGTTTCTTGGTCAATGCTACTATTCTGTCCTGTCCTCCTCCTCCTCCTCATCATTGGCATCCTCCTCCTCCTCCTCCTTCTCCTTCTCTTCCTCACCCTCCCCGCATACTCCTGCTTCCTCCTCCCCATCTTCGAGCCAAAACCGACCCTACTCGAATGCACTGAGCAGAAGCAATGGAACGCGGACAACAGAAGACTAGACGCTCGATCGCGACCAGTCATAAGCAATTTGTGCTTGTCCGTGCACAATTCGCGCGGGC